TTAGAAATAGGCGAAAAGGAAACAAATTTGCTTCAAACAACCTTAAAAATTAGTCAGCTTGACAGAGCAAAGATCACATCTTTTAGAAAAATGTCTACCTACTGTTTTAGCAACTCCAAGCAAAAAAAAAAAAAAAAAATCTTTCAAATGTTCCCCTATCTACTAATAAATGTAAAAGGTTAGCAATGTTCTTAACATCTTTGTCTCACACTTATCAATAGTCTAAAATCATTGACTCCCAAATTTTGTCTCATTCATAAGACCTCATTGTTTTGTTTTATTTTGTTTTGTTTTTGGTACCACAGATCAAATTCGGGACCTTGTGCATGCGAAGCAGGCGGCAGAACCACTGAGCTAAATCCCCGGCAAGATCTCATTGTTGAAAAGACAGACTCTAAGATTTTTTTATGAAAAATCACTATCACCATCTTTACTTTTTCAAGTCCCTTACTCCTTCCAAGAGTAAGAGTTAAGGCCTGTGTGGATGATTTCAAAATGGTGGAGTGGTGAATGGCAGTAATTTCAGCTTCTCTGAGATTCAGAATCCAGACACTCGAAAATAACTTGGGGAAGAAAAAAGAAAGAAGTATATCCTCAGGAATAGGAAAGGAACTGACAGGAAAAGTAAAAACTACAGAGAAGTTAACAAGATGGGCCATAATGCAGAGAAGAGAATGAAATAGTCTCTTTTTTCTCCCCACCCTGACTCTACTGAAGCAAAGTGAGCACTGGGGGTTCCAAAGAGAACCAACAGCAGTGGAAACTGCTCCAACTGGAGTCCTTCCACAAGGCAGGCAAGAGCTAGAGAGGGATGCCAGAGCAGGTGTCCACCATATTGCGATAAGAGTATGGGGTTGGGCACAATTCCAGGAAAGGGTTAAATTTTTTAATCTGGGACTCAGAACAGCTACAGGATGGCTTCACTTCAAGGTTCCTAGTGGTACCCTCCCCACTGTGACTGGGTGAGAGACAGCCTCAGACAGGGAGTTGGCTGGAAAGAGACTGCCTGAGCATTGAGTTCAGGCCAGAAAGGACAGGAGATAACCAGTTTTGCAGTAGGTCAAGTGCGACCAGCTGCAGAAGAGACCCTGCTTGTGGAAACACATACATTACCTGTTACTTGGGCACAAAAACCCTTCCAGATTAGCGATAAGCTCATGGTGAACCAGACTCAGAACTAGGAAAAGTTTTAAGACAAGTTTGCAGAAAACTACCTCAGTGTTAAAAGCAAGACAATTATTAAATCCAGGAAAAATAAAATTACACACAAAAAAATAATCATGGTACAGTCTGCTCTAAAATATACATTTTTATAGTCATAAAAATAACTAAGCTATTAATTATTAAGATGTAACTACATAATAGGAGAAGGTGAGATATGTGTTAGACCTAAACCATCATGTAACAATTAAGTATCTATAACTTAACAGGAGTAGAATGAGCATATTATTTAGATAAACTGATAAGAAGAATGGAATGGGCATATTATTTAGATAAACTGAGATAAATAATATAAACAACTCTGGAGTCAAAGTGATGGTCTCTGGGGAGGAAAGGGAAGTTCAGGCAGGGAGTACTTTTTTTTTTTTATCAAAAAGCCTTTAGAACTTTGCTATTTCATTTCTGAACTGTGTATACATATTTGATGTATTTTATAAATACAAGTAAATAAACTCACCATGGTCTCATTTATTTTTAAACAATATACTGTATTTATTTTGAAATTTCAAATGACATTAGGAGAAATGTGATTTTTTTATATTTACTGAAAGATGCATGGCCTAACAAATGGTTTAAAAAAACTTTTCTACATCACCTAAACTCTACAACAGACAATTATGAATCAAAAATCTTGCAACAACACCATTTCCTTATTTCTTCTACCAGCCCCTCAAAATTGCCATGTTTGCAAAGAACAAAACTTTATAATTTAACCAACAAGGAGGTGCCATGCAGAAATTCCAAGGCAATGTTTCCATGAAAAGAGGAGGCAGCAGGCTGAATGAAGAGCATTAACAGAAACCTCTTTGCCTCTCCTCACTAGTCAGCCATTTCATTTCCTGTGTGGCCTTCATTATTTTCATTATCCATGCCTCTGTCTACCACATGTTCCCCTTGATGTAATACCAAACTTAGCCACTCTGTCTATAACTCAGATAACACACTGACCACTTCTCAGTAAGCACAGATTTTCCTCAGTGATGTATGTATCTTGTGATTTATGTTGTCAGGGATTACTATATAATAATTTAATAATGATGGTATTTTATTAAATCTAAGCATGAAGAAATTAAAACCCAGACTCACTGACCCTGGCTTAAAGTTGAATGGTAAACATCAGCACCAACACTGGGGCACTGTTATTTTTAGCAAGCACATCAGCACCAACATTGGGGCACTATTATTTTAGCAAGACACGTGAACACAGCAAAACTAATTTTGTTCATTTTTATTAATATAATCAATATAATATAATTCATGTTACAGATGAGCTCTATCACCATCCTATACATAATATTTACTTGATTCTTCTTTTGGTTGAATGATTCTCAATGGTACAGTTATTTTTTGTCTACTTATTCATAAATAGCCTAATGATTCCAATGAAATTTCTTAGCTTTTAGATACTGAATAATTTCTTCAACAGGGAAAAGTTTCATGTCAAAATACTTCCTACAAATTAGTGTATTTTTCCAAGTCTTCTACTCAACTTTGTCTTGAAATGTAGTAAGATTCTTTGAAATTTGCATATGACATCACTGTTTCCAAAACACAAGCATAAAGCCTGTAAGAAATGTTTTCCCTCCTGCATGTTTCATAGGGCCATATAAATATCTTATTTTCTTCATATTTAACAAGAAGAATCCTTTATACTACAAATGACAGGAGACCTCAGGCCCATCAATACACTTGTGAGATAGATAAAATTCCAGTTATATTTTAAGATTCCATCTTCTTAGCTATGTGAAAATGCTACATGAGCTCTTCAGCTGTTTATTTAGCAACACCCTTAGTCCCCCAGTTTAAAAAAAAAAAGAGAGATTCAGGACAGCAGACCTCCTTAAACAGCACAAACTTAATCTAGAAAAAAAGTGAAGAAACCTCCCTTCCCTGTGATTTACCAGAAAATAAATAAACAGCATTGTGAAGGACTGGCCAAACAAAGAATATATCTAGATAAAGAATACTCTGTACTCAGAAACTGTAGGAGAACCATAAACCAATTAACTCATGCAAGTACTATTTTTAAAGTTAAAAGTCACTATGAATTACAAGTCTTTCAACTAAATTTTATATGTTATATGAAACTTAAGTGTGGCACATTTCTATTATAACCATTATACTATGTTTTATTTCTTTAAAAAACATATATTAATCAAAATTGATACATTACCCAGACCTTTTGATTTCAAATATACTGAAGAAAATTATTACAAACTCTGCATAACAGGCATTTTTCTATATAAACATGAGTTATTTTAGTAAAATAAAAATGCAAGTTACCGCTGATTAATACATACATTTTCATGTATGTAGAAAAATTAAGTTACACTCACTTTAAAAGTTCCATAGCAAACAAATACAGCATTTATTCAATAAAATTAAAATAATTCTAGTTAGTAAATAACTTCAACTATCATATATGTAATAGTTTATCATGTACATATTCCCAAATCCCAGAACTTAAGTAGAAAATTTATACAGTATCTTCTTAAAACATACCTTGGAGGGGCTGGGATTTAGCTCAGTGGTTCCGCCACCTGCCTCGCAAACGCAAGGTCCCAAGTTCAATCCCCAGTACCAAAAAAAAAAACAAAACATGTCTTGGAAAGCCAACCAAACAACTAGTATATTAACTAAAGAGAATGTGTATACACATCCATATTTGACCTGTATACAAAAAAAACTGAATACACAGCAAATGAAAGTTCCAAATTTTTTGAAATATAATGTTAGTACTTAATTGAAACACTTACCTGGCAAAAAAGGATAGCTTGAGGTATTTCCAATGCTGAAGGAAGTTTCTGAATGTTAAATACCACAGGAACGAAAACAGACTCCTCTAGGCATTGACCTCTAGTCTATAAAGGAGGCAGAGGATGAAAGTCTGCCAGGGCATTTGCCCGTCTCACCTACATTCTTTCTCCTTTATGAAGCATAAGCTTCAAGGGAAAGGACTACATGGAAAAACATTTCAAGTGAGCTGGGGTTCCCAAGTGAAATGTTTTAACAAGGGAAAGGAAGAAATTTAAATTCTCCTGTCCAGGACATACCTGTCCTCTTTAGACATGAGCATTACTTTAGACATGAGCATGCCTCACAGATAAGCATGCCCTTTGAAATCAAAGCTGAGCTTGACCAAACACTAGAATGGACAAAGTGAATACACAAACCACCTAAACAAAGATGGTACTTAGAGCCTTTCATATGACACATGAAAATGAAGAAGTGTTTTATTTAGATTTGGTCTTTCATCTTTCCATAACTCTGAATCCTGAAAGATTAGCAAGTGATTACACTCATACATCCTACAATCCCTTTTGTCATACAAGAGGCACATATGCACAGTATGATATGTCCATATATTATCAACACAGCATCGACATTTAAGCAGTAGATGCATTTCACATGAAAGAAGCTCTAAACATCATGTGGACTGTCCCAATAAGAAGCAA